GTTCGATTCTGTTTGCTAGTATTTTGTTGAGGATTTTTGCATCTATGTTCATCAGTGATATTGGTCTGTAGTTTTCTTTTTTTGTGACATCTTTGTCTGGTTTTGGTATCAGGGTGATGGTGACCTCGTAGAATGAGTTTGGGAGTGTTCCTCCCTCTGCTATATTTTGGAAGAGTTTGAGAAGGATAGGTGTTAGCTCTTCTCTAAATGTTTGATAGAATTCACCTGTGAAGCCATCTGGTCCCAGGTTTTTGTTTGTTGGAAGATTTTTAATCACAGTGTCAATTTCAGTGTTTTTGATTGGTCTGTTTATATTTTCTATTTCTTCCTGATTCAGTCTCGGAAGGTTGTGCTTTTCTAAGAATTTGTCCATTTCTTCCAGGTTGTCCATTTTATTGGCATAGAGTTGCTTGAAGTAATCTCTCATGATCCTTTGTATTTCTGCAGTGTCAGTTATTACTTCTCCTTTTTCATTTCTAATTCTGTTGATTTGAGTCTTCTCCCTTTTTTTCTGATGAGTCTGGCTAGTGGTTTATCAATTTTGTTTATCTTCTCAAAGAACCAGATTTTAGTTTTATTGATCTTTGCTATTGTTTCATTCATTTCTTTTTCATATATTTCTGATCTGATCTTTATGATTTCTTTCGTTCTGCTAATTTTGTTTTTGTTTTTTTTGTTATTCTTTCTCTAATTGCTTTAGGTGTAAGTTGAGGTTGTTTATTTGAGAGGTTTCTTGTTTCTTGAGGTAGGATTGCATTTTATAAACTTCCCTCTTAGAAATGCTTTTCTTGCATCCCATAGGTTTTGGGTCATCATGTTTTCATTGTCATTCGTTTGTAGGTATTTTTTGATTTTCTCTTTGATTTCTTCAGTGATCTCTTGGTTATTTAGTAATGTATTGTTTAGCCTCCATGTGTTTGTGTTTTTTTACAGTTCTTTCCCTATAATTGATATCTAGTCTCATAGTGTTGTGGTTGGAAAATGTACTTGATAAGATTTCAATTTTCTTAAATTTACCGAGGCTTGATTTGTGACCTAAGATATGATCTATTCTGGAGAATGTTCCATGAGCACTTGAGAAGAAAGTGTATTCTGTTGTTTTTGGATGGAATGTCCTATAAATATCAATTAAGCCCATCTTGTTTAATGTGTCTTTGAAGCTTGTGTTTCCTTATTTATTTTCATTTTGGATCACCTGTCCATTGGTGAAATTGGGGTGTTAATGTCCCCTATTATGATTGTGTTACTGTTGATTTCCCCTTTTATGGCTGTTAGCATTTGCCTTATGTACTGTGGTGCTCCTATTTGGGTGCATAAATATTTACAGTTGTTGTATCTTCTTCTTGGATTGATCCCTTGATCATTATGTAGTGTCCTTCTTTGTCTCTTGTTATAGTCTGTATTTTAAAGTCTATTTTATCTGATATGAGAATTGCTACTCCAGCTTTCTTTTGATTTCCATTTGCATGGAATATCTTTTTCCATCCTTTCACTTTCAGTCTGTATGTGTTCCTAGGTCTGCTATGGGTTTCTTGTAGACAGCATATATGTGGGTCTTGTTTTTGTATCCATTCAGTCAATCTATGTCTTTTGGTTGGAGCATTTAATCCATTTACATTTAAGGTAATTATCGACAGTTATGTTCCTGTTACCATTTCTTAATTGTTTTGGGTTTGTTTTTGTAGGTCTATTCCTTCTCTTGTGTTTCCTGCCTAGAGAAGTTCCTTTCACATTTGTTGTAAAGCTGGTTTTGTGGTGCTGAATTCTCTTAGCTTTTGCTTGTCTGTAAAGATTTTAATTTCTCCACCGAAACTGAATGAGAACCGTGCTGGGTAGAGTAATCTTAGTTGTAGTTGTTTCCCTTTCATCACTTTAAATATGTCCTGCCACTCCCTTCTAGCTTGCAGAGTTTCTGCTGATAGATCAGCTGTTAACCTTATGGGGATTCCCTTGTATGTTATTTGTTGCTTTTCCCTTGCTGCTTTTATTTTTTTATTTATTTATTTTTTTAAAATAATAAATGTATTTATTTTTGGCTGTGTTGGGTCTTCATTGCTGTATGCGGACTTTTCTCTAGTTGTGGCAAGCGGGGGCTACTCTTTTTTGTGGTACGCAAGCTTCTCATTGTGGTGGCTTCTCTTGTTGGGGAGCATGGGCTCTAGGCAGGAGGGCTTTAGTAGTTGTGGCATGTGGGCTCAGTAGTTGTGGCTCGTGGGCCCTAGAGCGCAGGCCTAGTAGTTGTGGCACATGGGTTAGTTGCTCCGTGGCATGTGGGATCTTCCTGAACCAGGGCTTGACCCTGTGTCCCCTGCATTGGCAGGCAGATTCTCAACCACTGCGCCACCAGGGAAGCCCTTCCTTGCTGCTTTTAATATTTTTCTTGGTGTTTAATTTTTGATAGTTTGATTAATATGTGTCTTGGTGTGTTTCTCCTTGGATTTATCCTGTATGGGACTCTCTGTGCTTCCCAGACTTGATTGACTATTTCCTTTCTCATGTTAGGGAAGTTCTCAACTATAATCTCTTCAAATATTTTCTCAGTCCCTTTCTTTTTCTCTTCTTCTTCTGGGATCCCTATAATTCGAATGTTGGTGCATTTAATATTGTCCCAGAGGTCTCTGAGACTGTCCTCAATTCTTTTCATTCTTTTTTCTTTATTCTACTCTGTGGTAGTTATTTCCACTATTTTATCTTCCAGGTCACTTATCCATTCTTCTGCCTCAGTTATTCTGCTATTGATTCCTTCTAGAGAATTTTTAATTTCATTTATTGTGTTGTTCATCACTGTTTGCTTGTTCTTTAGTTCTTCTAGGTCCTTGTTAAACATTTCTTGTATTTTCTCCATTCAATTTCCAAGATTTTGGATCATCGTTACTCTCATTACTCTGAATTCTTTTTCAGGTAGACTGCCTATTTCCTCTTCATTTGTTTGGTCTGGTGGGTTTTACCTTGGTCCTTCATCTGCTGCATATTTCTCTGTCTTCTCATTTTGCTTAACTTACTGTGTTTGGGGTCTCCTTTTCGCAGGCTGCAGGTTTGTATTTCCCATTGTTTTTTTGTGTCTGCCCCCAGTGGGTAAGTTTGGTTCAGTGGGCTGTGTGGTCTCTGGTGGTCCAATGTCCTTAACTCGGCTCTTCCACCTCAGGGGCTCAGGCTTGACACCAGGCTACAGCACCAAGACCCTGTCAGCCACACGGCCAGGTATGTAGGGAGTTTCTTGCCTTTTGGGAAGTCTGAGGTTTTCTGCTAGTGTTCAGTAGGTGTTCTGTAGGAGCTGTTCCACATGTGGATGTATTTTTGATGTATTTGTGGGGAGGAAGGTGATCTCCACGTCTTACTCCTCTGCCATCTTGAAGGTCCCCTCCACCCCACAGTATTTTGCTTAATTCCTCCTTGTCAACACCTGCCAGGACCATCCTGTATCTGACTCCCTACCTCCCGTCTCATTCTTCTGCAATCTGCCCTCCAGGGAGTGATTAAACAAACAAACAAAACCATAGTTGGTCATATTTTTCGTCTACCTAAAAGCTTTCAATGGCTAATGCTTGCTTGCAAAATAAATTTCAAACATCCAGACTTGGCATGGCCGACAAGTTCATTTGTGTTCCTTACAGCCTTGTCTCAGGCCACTTTCCTACACACACCCCAAGCTGTAGTTCACCTGGCCTACTTGTAATTCCAAAAATGTGCCATGGTTCACCTTGCCTTTGTGCTCAGGTATATACTGTTTTCTCCACCTAGAACATCCACCCACTCCCTTGTCCTCCACCTCTCTGCATAACCCTTACGTGTTCTTAGGGACTTAGCTAGACTGTCATCTTCTCTTGGAAGCATGTCCTGACTGCCCTGAGCTGACTTGGAGTCTTCTCTTTTATAGTCTTCCCTTATCAGCCTGTCTCAATATTGATTTTCTCATATGGTACCCTTACCAGGCTAATTATCGCAGGCAGGATCTGGGTCCAGCACGTGTGTGATACATAGGAGGGATAAAAGGTATGTTGAATGAATGCTCCCTGCCTGGAAAATTATTCTTTCTCAGCCCAAGTCATAGGGGGTTGATAGATAACTCCTCCCAGCGTTGACAGTAATGCTCTGAGGGCTCCCTGAGACTCCAGGGTTGGAGAGAAAAGACCAGTTGTTTGAGACCTGAAAGTCAGAGCCTGTTAGACAGACATTAGAGATATAAAAAGAACAGTAATGATAATGAAACTGGATTATTTGGTGTGGCTACTTGTCAGGGAAACTGGTAGACATCTCTTGTTGGTGACTTCTGGCAATGTTTTCCCTTTCTTTTTTTCCTTTATTTTTTTTTGAATATTTAAGACAGGTTTATTTCCATAACTTCATTTCCCACTGTAATACATTGCTTCTCCATTTAATATACGAATTTTGTATATATACTGCCTTACTTTGGTCAACTATATAACTATACTTCAGACTGTAGACCTCAGTAGAACCTTAAAAATCTAAACACAAATTCTACCTCTAACCACCAAGACTTTGGGGATTAAAATAACTGACAGGCCATCATTTTTTATTTACATCAGTTCAGTTTATACATGTTTAACTTATTCTAATGACTGTTTCCAATGTGAAAACCAAGTTTAAAATAACTTGATCAACTTGTTTCAAACACAGCTGTTCACATACCATACTCCAGCTCCACCCATGTAAGTAAATCCTGTAACAGAGATAAAACTACTTAGCATAAATTCAGTGAAGTTGAGCCTTTCATAAACAGCATGAAAATATGAGTTGAAGAAAATTTTCCAGCATGCTACTATAAGTAGCTTTTTTTCTGCAGTATTAATACAGTAAAACAAAATATTAAATTTATTTAAAATATAGGTATGAGATTATTCCATTCTGTCCAAACCTATTAAATACCTTCCAAAAGTTTTGTAATTCAGTCCTAGAAATTTTTGGAGCTGAGAGCATTTCCTGTTCAGAAATGTTACCTCTATAAAAGCTCCCAGGAAATTTCAGAAAAATATAATCTTCTAATTTAAAAGTTGATCGAAAAAAAAAAAGTTGATCGATTTGCCAAATGATGCAGCCAGGTTTGCTTCTCTAAAAGCTTCTGGTAAGGTCGGATGTGCATGACAGACTCTAGCTATATCTTCACAGGATGCTCCATATTCCAGTGCAAGAGCAGCTTCATTTATCATTTCACCAGCACCTGGTCCTAGAATATGTGCTCCCAATACTCTGTTTGTTGATTTCTGCCCAAGTATCTTCACCATGCCATCTGTGTCAGCGTTTGTCTTAGCTCTGCTCTTAGCAGCAAATGGGAATTTCCCAAATTTGTACTCAATAACCCTCTTCTTTCAACTGCTCTTCTGATTTGCCAACCCAAGCAACTTCAGGGTGTGTGTAAATCACCGATGGTACACAATTGTAGTCAATGTGCACAGCGCCACCAGCCATCCCTTCAACACAGATAATGCCTTCATCCACTGCTTTGTGAGCCAGCATTGGACCAGCAACCACATTGCCAATTGCATAGATATTTGGAATTTTAGTTTGGAATCTGGTATTTACTGGAATTCTACTTCTAGGATCCAGCTCAATTCCAAGCTCCTCTAGTCCCAAATTCTTAGTAAAGCGTCGTCGGCCAATGCAAACCAGGAGTACATCACAAGTGATAACTTCAGCTTTACCACCAGAAGCAGCTTCAATAGAAACATCAATTTTTCCATCTGACTTCTTAGTAGCACCAGTAACTTTGGTATTCAATTTAAAGAGAGAGATGGAGATCTCTGGTAGAGCTGTGGCTATAAGAATGTTCTTTGTATCAATAACTTGACTGCTGCCATCGGCTTTTGTAGCTGTGACCTGATTTTTCCCAGTTATCTTTCCATACCCATTTACATGAGCAACCTTATTCTATTTGAACAAGTGGGCACTTCCACCTGTTAAAGCTTTTACTGCATTACTCTTCTGCTCCGTCATCTTCTCTAAATTCAAGCGAACTTCAGACATTTCAATTCTTCTAGATGAAAAATCTTTTCCATGGGCCATATGGTAATAATGAGAGTTATTCAATAAAGCCTTAGAAGGAATACAACCAACTTTCAAGCATGTTCCACCGAGTGTTTCATTTTTCTCAACGCAGACTGCCATGAAGCCTAACTGGGCAGCTTTGATAGCAGCAACATATCCTCCAGGACAAGAACCTATCACTGTTAACATCACCATCAATTGGTTGATCTGCATAAGTTCTCAGTGGCACTGCAGAAACTCCTTGCAGACCATGAGATGTTCGATTGAAATGGCCTCTCTTAGCCAAGGAACAGTACACACGACTCCAGCTCTGCATCTTGCCGCTGGACTTTCGTTTCTGCCAAAGCTTTCAAACTCCGCTAAGCGTCTCTGCCGCCTCGCCAAGGTCTCCTCCCTTTCTTTTAATAAGAGTACCTTATTACTACCTATTCCACCAACCCAATCCCTGTGTTATAGGTGGGGCTGATCCCAGGCTCCCACGCCATTGGTCGGCACATGACTTGGGCCTGTCCACTCAGAACATCCCATTCCCTTTCCCTGAGCAATTGGTTTAGAGATAGGTGCGTGACCCGCGCCAGACCAATGACACTAAACACAGGACTTTCTCTGGAGCTAAATAGAGACAGGTTTTTTTTGTTGTTTGGTGGAAATATAAGGTAGATGTATAAGCCTGCAGTGACTGGTTGCCAACTTGGGCTCCATATGGGAAAAGACTTGAGAATGAAGGAGGAGTTGAGAGGCAGAAAACCAAATTGCTGCTGCTGCTGTTTGAGTGCCCAATCCAACTTTGCATTAAGCCAGGCCTGTTTTGTTTTGTTCTTCTGGTTACGTGATAAAATAATTTCCCCTTTTTGAGTAAGGTGATTCAATCTGGGTCTCTGTTGCTTGCAACCAAAAGATGTTTATTAGTACAGAAATCAGGGTAGTCAGTAAATCTAGAGAGAAAATGTGAATACAGAGGACTCTGGCTCTGTGGTCATGGGAAAAGGATGTGTTTCCTTTCATCCAAGTCATTTTACCCAGTGACCCTCTAGGCAGGTAACGGAGGAAAGAGTACCCTGGAGGGAGTGGTGGGTCTCAAACTATGGCCCAACTAGACGGGATACATCTTTTCCCCCTTTCATTTGTACTTGTCAAAAAAAAAATGTTTTTCAAAATTTATTTTGTTTTATATTTATTTTTAATTACTAAGCAAACATGAATACATTTTTCTTATAGAAATTAAACTATTTTAGAAAATGCAGAATGTCTTCTGACTTTTACTTGACCACTCCCCTCCGGAGGCTACCCTGTATTCGGCTTATATCCTTTAAACCGTATAACTCAGTATAGACACACATAAGAACATAGAAGTTTCTTTTGCACGGTGGCTATGTGGGGATGGTGGCTGTGATTGTGTAGATTCTGCTCACAAATGCACTAAGAGTGAAGTTGCGTTAAAAAATCCCACCTACAGAAAACACCTCCCTCTAATTGTCATCCAACCCCAGGAATATCTGAAACTGCCCCCTCCTGTAAATCCCTTTTATGTATTTAAGAAGCTTTTCTAAAAGATTCTTTTTAATCTGCTATTAAAAATTTTTCTGGAAAGAAGAGAATGAGTTAAACTATATTTTTTGTCATTTTTTCTCACTCATTTTGTAAAAATTACACACGAACACATGCTTAATGTAAAAGATTAAGGGAAAATCTGCCCTTATCTCACGATCTCACCTCACCATTCCCCTCCCCCCTCACTACATTGTGTATTTTTCTGGTCCTTCTCTGCATTTTCATTTTATACACATAGAGCAGCAATGTATTTTAGAAAACTTTCTGTGTCAGTGTTTTAAGATTAAAAGGTTAAGTTATAAAAAACAGAGAATATGCCTTTAGTTAATGAGACACAGGATGGACAAGCTTTGATGGGGGGGAGGCAGGAAATCTAGTACAATAAGCCTGTATAGGGAGGTTGGGCTGCTGGGGTGTTGAGAGTTTGTATGGGACGAAGCACTTAGTGAGGCCGTTTCAAAAGTAAACCTGACCGACTGCCCAATTTTTCCATCCTTGCTTCTCAAATCTTGGGTCTGGGAGGTTGGTTGTATTTCTGGCAATAATCGGACTTTAATTTTTTCTATTCTTTATTTTTTTAAATTTGTTTATTTTATTTATTTATTTTTGGTTGTGTTGGGTCTTCGTTGCTGCACGCAGGCTTTCTCTAGTTGTGGCAAGCGGGGGCTACCGTTCTTTGCAGTGCGCGGGCTTCTCATTGTGGTGGCTTTTCTTGTTGTGGAGCATGGGCTCTAGGTGTGCGGACTTCACTAGTTGTGGCACGTGGGCTCAGTAGTTGTGGCTCACGGGCTTAGTGGCTCCGTGGCATGTGGGATCTTCCCAGACCAGGGCTTGAACCCGTGTCCCCTGCATTGGCAGGCAGATTCTTAACCACTGCACCACCAGGGAAGTCCAATTTTTCTATTCTTAATCGCTACTTAAAGCTCAATAGTTTTTAAAAAACATAGTATCTATCCTTTCCTTTCTCAGGTAAATCAAGCTGATTTTCTTTTTTTTCTTTTTTATGTACCAATTTCAAGTGTGGCTAACTTGAGATGGATGGTCTTTGACGAATGATTCTTGTTTTGAGTTTTGTTTTTTAAATGGTAGAAATTTCCTCTTCCTCATCCTCTCCTTCCTCTTTCTTCATGCGTCTTCCTTCTCTTCCAGTATTCAACATGTATTTTTTTTTTAGGGGGTAGGGGATGAATTTTCTTTATTTCCATTTCAGACTCTCATTCAATCCAGGCTCAGTCTTATCTAACGTGCTAACTATTTTTACACTGAGGCTTAGAGAATGCTGACCACACTTCCAAAATATTTTAGCATATAGACATTTGGTGTGATATAAACATACCCCCAGGATGACTGACACTACTGCCCTCTTCCCTGGGAAACAATGTAATGCCGTGGGGAAAATCATGGGCTGGGAGTCAGACAGGCCTGGGTGTGTGTCCAGGTGCTGCCCACACTTGTTTCAGGATCTCCAGGAGGTACCTGACAAAGTTTCAGTGTTTTCTTCCATGAAACAGGAAAATGCTTCACTGGGGGTAGTTCCTTTATTAAATAAAATAATATGTGCAAACCACTGATTCAATACACAAGTGCTATTTTTCCACCCTAACATTTTGACTTAGAGAATAGTCCAACAGAAATTTCACACCATCCATTCAGTTTACCAGGACAGGGGAGGAGAGAGTGATACAAGCAGAAGGTCTGTCTAAAAGGAAACACTGTATTATATTTCTCTTTTATTCACTCAGAAACCTGAGTTTGCCTGACCTAGTGCAGGGAGAAAAGGAAGCACTAGAAATACGATTCCTGTTTCACAGACAAGGGATGATAGAATATATGGTAAATGATTCTGTTTGTTTACTAAAGACATAACCACAATTTCATAATAGTAACAAGCTACCTTCCTGAGCTTCAGTGAATTTCACTTTGAAATCCTTCTTTCATTTTCCTGTTTGTATACCAGGAAGTGTGTGTTGTGAATAAGCCCAAACTAGCTTAAGCTAACACACACACACACACACACACACACACACACACACACACACACACGTATTGACTTATTTTCCTAGAAAGAATGGGGGTGGGTTCAAGCACTATTAGATTTGGGGTTTCTCCCCACTGGCTCTTTCCTGAGCTGTATTGGTCTGCTTGCTGGCTTCTAAGAGAGAGTTGATCTGGACTCAGCAAACTTTAGGCTTCGATCATCCTAACTCAGCTTCCTTCTTAGGATACAGATATAACATGCCAGGGATAGACTCCTATTGTGTCTTCCTGGATCATGTGACTGCCCTTGACCCAGTACCCAGTGACTGGGTGGGGGGATAGGATGTTCTGATTGGCAGGTTGGGTCCTGTACTTCTGTGGCCAGAGTGGATAAGGTTTGGTGACCAGTAGTTCTGCCAGGAACACACAGAATGGAGAGGGGCCCTTTCCCAAAGTCACAGTTTGGTTTTCCCCAGTTCTAATTAAAGCGGTTTGTACCCAGGTGTGATAAATCAGGTACTCACTTGACCTTTAGTTAATGCTTTGATACTTCCACAATTTATACTAGTTTGAGCAATATGCTCATAAGCAAGGTATGCCCGTATGATGGATACTAGAGTGGTGTAGTTTCTAGGTAGAAACTACCTAGAAAGTATATAAAACAGATAACATGTAAAACATATAAAAGGTTTTTTATTTGTGTATGAATCCCAGAAGTGTTTACAAGATCATTAGAAATTCAGCATAAATAAAAATAAACTAGCAAGATGCAAGTAAACAATCTTCCCCAGTATTTTTTTTAATTGGCTGTTATGGCATGGCCTTACTTCATTAAAAATTTCTAGACTAAAAACTGTGTTTACCAAGATAAATACAAATGATAAAGGTTTTCAAGAGCTGAAGGAGCAACAGAGAGAAACCAAAATGACTTCTCTGTTTTGACTTTGACCATAATTCTAAATTCTGTCCACCTGATGCTTCTACCTTTAAGAGAGTGAAAAGAGGAAAAGAAAGGATGGAAAACTGGAGGGGAGAGAAGGAAGAGAGTGGAGAGGAGGGTATTCCCGATTAATTTTTACCTTCTCAAAAGTGGGAGAGTGAAATGAAAAAACACAGGTCCTGGGGCAGATGTTATTGTGTTTTGCACACCAGCTTGCTCTCCCCTCGTCTGAAGCGCGTTTACTCAAAGCCCTTCCTCACTCTAAGCCTACATGCTGCCTAACATTGCTGACCACACTCTCAGCTCTGGGGATGGGCCATGACTAACTTGAGCCAGAATGTTTTATCTCCCAACACGTAAGGGCTGTTTTAGAGGTAGCAATGGCAATTAATCCAATCATGGCCAATGCGATGCAAGATGATGTTCCCAGGATTTCTGAAAAATATAGTCGTTCTTTCTGGGCTTGATTTGGTGATTTGAGGAAGAGCTGCTTAGGGCTGGGGTAGCCGTGGAGGATGAAGTCAACCCATGAAGGAAGACAGTTCCGGAGAGGCAGAAGAACTGAGGACACATGAGTCTGGAGGAAGCTGCCCCAGAAGCCAACACTACCTGTAGAATTTCAATGATATGACTGAATAAATGCTGTTCTTTGTGCCAATTAGTTTGAGTTGGGTTTCCATTCCACTGAAAATGAAAATGATCTTAATTGGTTTTCTTGGAAGTGCATGAATATCATTCTTCTTTATGTCTCTTCCCCCAATGGGTCCAGCATGATGCTTTTGCATACAGTAGGTGCTCACTGAATGAATGGATGCAGTGGAAGCCTCTCTGGGTTGGAAGTTAAAACCTGATCGTCTAATCCTAGTGTACGTAATA